CACACTGGAAACTACTGTGTTAGTAAGTGAAAGTCCTGCTTTTTAAAATAAAAGTATGTGAGTCTAATCAGGAAAATGTCCTTAACGTATTAAAGCGGTAAAATGTGCCTGTTGTAGTTTCATATCTCCTCTCCTCAGATTCTTCTTCCTCCTCATTAATGTGCAGCAGGATTTCGCTGCTGTAGATGTTGAGCTGGAGCTCATTCTGAACTGTTTAGCATCAGCTGATAATTCTTTTCATTCTGGATCAATCAGCTGATTATTTCCTCCATGAATCCATCGATTGTTTGGTTTGTGAAGATTTTGCCGTCCTAGTTACCCAGAGCCCAAAGTGACAGACAGTCAGTGGGTGGAAAGTGTTTTGATTTTTCCTTTTTAAAATAAACATATTTGAAATAAACAGTAATTAAGTATATGTGTGTTTAAAATGCACAATAATGTGTAATATATAAAATATAGACTAAGTTTGGGTGTGAAATTAGCTTCCTGAATCCAGCGATCTATTCTGGGGCGCTGGAGAGAGCGCCCATACAGCACAGCCCAAAACGGACACAAGATTTGCCCATAGAAACAGAAATTAAGCCAATCGGCGTCCTCAAATCTGATGCCTGCAGGGCGCTCCAGGATCTGCCCCAACAATCACAGTCAGCCGGTGGTAGAGGGACACGTGACGTTGTTGACAATGTGGAACTCAAGACAGACGCAGGCTTTCAGCCTCGGCTAGCTGGATGCAATGATTTAAATGCCTTATTTTGCTTCCCATGCTTCCCATGCAACAACTGTTACAGGAATAAATGACACGATACATTTATCTGAGAAGAAACACGAGTATACGAGGGCACATATGGATAACGCGGTGAAGCTAGCCATGCTAGGCGGAGTTAACATCGGGCTCGCTCGACCACAAAGAGACCGCATCCTCTGACAACCCTGGCGTTTTCAGTAGATCTTGTTGCCTCGCTGGACAGCGTGTTGGAGGAGCACCTTAAGACAGCTACCGTTTAAAAAGGCACCTCAAAGACTGTGCATAACGAACCTTTGGACTGCATGCTGTCAGTTCTTACAGATTACATTCTGGTGGAAGTAGTATTTCCACCCACTGCCAGCTGGTGCTCGTGCTACGGTACATCGACAAGGAGCACAACAGCTGTTGGCTACAGAGGTCAGCTGTATGGTTTATAGGCAGCTCTGAAGTGTTAAGATGTGGTTATTTCCAGTGGTGCACAGGAACTTCAGTAGGCCTACTGTACTGAAGTACAAATTAGCGGTAGCCTATTTGTACTTTACTTGACTATTTTCTTTTCATGCCACTTTCTATGTTCACTGTTTATGTTTTTGTATATTAATATGATATAATATTGGCATTAAATAATTTCTGACTATTTCACAAAGCACTGGTATCCTGCAGTTTGTGTTAATTTGTATTAGGACGGTTAGTGAAACTGAAACTTACTATTTTTCACCAGCCGCCACTATTTACAACGCTTGTTGAGTCCAACCAATAGCTCAACAATATTATCCTCCACTTACAACAAGGTCCTTTCATCACTTCCCAGGAAACTGAACAAGCATTTCCTCTTGGCCTCAGGTGAACACGCCAATGATGGGCGTTCAGACTTGAGCACGGGGGGCTCTAACGACCATAACGACACTAACCAACCAGCGGTATTGATGATCTTGTCAATAACAGCTGAGTTTCTCTACTAGTCATTTCAGAACTGAAGACGTCTCTTGGATGAGGGACGAAACGTCTTCTAGCATCTTCAACAAAGTCCAGTTTCTCTTGAATTTAACCTTCTTTGGATTAGAATTATTATTATTAGCATTCAGAGGAAAAGCAGCAAATCTTCTAGTGAGAAGCTGAAACCATCAGCTCTTTTCATCTAACTCTTTCAACTATACTTAAACATGTTCATGTGTTTTGTGAGCAAACAATCTCTTTAAACCAACTAGAAACTAAAGCTGTCAGATAAATGATGTTAAGTAAAAATTACAATATTAGTACCTAATATCTGTATTTGAGTACAATAAATGTACTTAGTTACATTCCACCACTGCTTTTTAGTATTCAAATTATATATTCGATAACATATATATTTTGTAACTGAGGATAAATAAAGTTATTGAATTGAATAGATGTGTACATGTACTCACCTGTTTATCAGTTACCAAATGTTTTTATGAGAATATACTAATTACTTAACCGTTTAAAGTACACATGTTTTGTGTGCAGAAAAACTTAATTTTTAAAGTAGTTAGTAACCAAAACTATCATATAAATGTAGAGGAGTAAAAAGTACAATATTTCTTCCCTGAGGAAGAAAAGACAGAAGAGGGAGACAACAGACCCAACACCGAGTACAAGCACTACATACTTAACATCTGAGCTGTTCACTACAAAACACCATGCAGTGTCGAAGTGGAAATGTGGAAAATGGACTGGAAAGCAAATTAACAAAAGAAACAAATAGATAAAACAATAGAGAACAGTGGCTGGCCTGGTCCTGTAGCAGAGTAAAGCAGCAGGAGGGAGGGGGACTTCCAGTGCAGTGTCTCCGGACCCCTACAGCCCCGTCAGCTGTAGACATCAATCTTCTCCAGTTCCCTCCACGGAGGACGGGACGCTCACGTCTGGATGTCAGACGTGCACCCCACAAGGTGTGCTCCGTGGAAAGCAAAACACTCTCTCCTGAGACTAGCATGCCTTTTATCACTTCCTGATTAGCTGCAGGACCTTGTCATGTGACCATGCATGTGCACCAATCACCTACATTAGCACATTTATATCTACATACCCTGCAGGTCCTCTGACATGGAAGTCACCATGTTGCGACGCCATGTTTCTACAGTAGCCCAAATGGACAAACAGCTCTACAAAGCTGAAAGTTTTGTCGCTACGTTAAATACGTATGAAGTAGTAGTGACAGTCGACTGGTTTATTAGAAGTAAGAAAACAAGTGAAATTTGGACAAATGGAGGACCACGCAGAATATATTGGCGCAGAAGCGGACAGAGCGTGTTGGCCACCGTAGCTTCTCCTGCTCGCTTGAAAGGGAGGGGTGAGCGATGGTGGCGTTCATGTGGTGCCGGCAACATTGCAAAATTAGGAGTAAAGGTCTACATGGGTCATAAAGAAGTGTACAGAACAGTATACAGTATACACAAATAATAAAAACTTTGCCTGGGGTAGTCTATGTCAGTAGTTCTCAAAGTGGGGTCAGGGGACCCCCAGGGGTCCTTGAGGCAGAGATGCTCTCAAGTCTCTGAGTCCAAGTCAAGTCTCAAGTCTCTCATGGTTTTAATGAATGTTGCATCAGCTGCTGCGTTCAATCCAGGCTGCTTATAAAACTGCAGAGCTAGAAGGGATTCTGTAACTGTAACCTGTTTTTCACTCACAGATCACAACCATGTAACGTGCGATGCAACTAATGACGGCTTATTAACTACTGCAAGTCAACACATCCCGCTGACTCTCAAACCAGTGTAACGTTATAACTAAATAAAACTATGATGTCACATGATCAACAATAAACCTGTAACCTGTTTGCAGCCAACGGTTATAATTTACATGACGGCAGCCAGCGGGACGTAAATAATTACGTTAAATCGACCACCACAAGTTTGGCAAGCGAACAAACGTTCATTCATCTTTTCATAGCGAGCGACAGTCTGAGTTAACCTCCCGTAGGTCGGAGCTGAAGCAAGAAGCAAGCTAACGCTAGATGGCCAACGCTGAGCTAAACGTGTTCACTAACCTATTTTCTGTTCAAGCGCTTCTTTGTTTGGGTCTTGTTGTATGAAGTTTTAAAGTTTATGATGAACGGCTCAGCAGCTGCCGGTGTTCCAGGGGGTCCCCTGCAAAAAGGGGAACAGTTTGTTTTCACTATAACTCCATCCATAAGTAGCCTAACACAATTACTGTTTCAGTCATGGGTTTCATACACTTTCTGTAATAAAACCAATCAATCTTCCACCCCTCCAGGACTCTGAGGTGACCCCTCCCACCCCGGACACAAGCAGTTTCAGACAGTCCCTCGTACCCCCTCCCCTTTACCTCCACAGACATATTCTTACATATTCTTACATAATCTTTATGGTTCCTTTAAATTTTTTTAATATCTTGTCAGTAAAAGTCACCAAAGAAAATTCCTTGTTAACCTACTTGGCAATGAAACGGTGTCTGATTCTAAAAAGCAAAATTTCTATCATATGGGGGATCCTGGGAAAAAATCTTACCAAACGGGGGTCCGTGGTCTAATGTGTCTCAGTTTAGGGGTCCTTAATGTTAAAAAGTTTGAGAACCACTGGTCTATATATTATATAAAGATATTAAAAGAGGACCATATGTTGACAGTTTTCAACCTTTTTATTGAAATTAAATTGATATAATGTACAACCTAATGGAGAAAACTGCTGAATCTACAATTGCCATTACACAGTACCTCAGATTTGTACTTCAGTACAGCACATGTGCATTGTTATATTCCACCACTGCTTTTTAGTATTCTAATGATGTATTCTATAACGTACAGCCTGTGTGTACATGTACTCACAGTACACTGTGTTACTGATAAATGTCCTGTGTCTCCTTTTAGAATGAAAATCATGAATCACATGAAACGTTAAAAAAATAAAAAAGGTAAATCACACGGTAACACACACAGAATTATATCAGTCGAGGCTGTGGGCACAAACGCAGAGCGAAGCTCAGCAGGAGGAGGAAGGCATTTTGAGACAGATGGTGACGAGAGAAGAAGAGAGTGTGAAGGAAAGAGAGACGGGAGGAGAAAGAAGGATAGCTCGAATGAGAGAGAGAGAAAAACCCTGAATGGATGCTTAAGACTGACACTGCTCTCAGCCAATCACAGCATCCGCCTCCCCTCCTCCTCGCATCTGGGCTCTGTGATTGGCCGGCGGGAGCAGAGCTACAGAGAGAGAAAGAGAGAGAGAGAGAGCCACAGGAGAATAAGAAAGAAGAAGAAACTGTCAGATGTGGACGTCTCTGTTCTTCACACCTCTGTCTGTCTGTCTCTCTCTCTCTCTCTCTCTCTCTCGCAGTTTCTCAGTAGCCTCTCTGCCTCGCTCGCCCCTCTCTGAGCTGCTGCAATTCGCTCGCAACTGTTTTGCTTTCTGATTCCTGAGAAGAGAGAGAGAGGGAGAGAGGTTTAATGCGATGGACCTGCTGCCCACCGACTGCTATTACTGCTGCTGCTGCTGTTTACACCGCGGCATCATGGGAGCTGTAGTGTCCTCGGCAGCGCAGGAGGACAGCTGATTAGCCGGGGTATTGTGGGCTATCAGAGTTTGGAGATGTGAGCTGGTGGACGGACAAGGCTCATCAGACTCTCTCTCTTTCTTTCTGTTCTATTTTCTTTTTCTTTTCCTTCCTCTCATCTGCAGTTCATTTCATCTCTCTCACCTACTCCTCCCCCCTTTTACTCTCGCCTCCTCCTAACTTGTACCCGTACGAGGAAAAAGTCAGAATGGGTTGTCGTCTCACTCGGACCAAGGTGAGTAACCTCCTGGCAGGTGCGTTTTGGGCTGGCGGTGGGTTTTTGGTCGTGTCGGGTGAGAGAGAAAGAAAGAGTCAAAGGGTATAATAGATAGATAACGAGACGTGATGGTAAACACGCACCCACATCGCTAACCCAGATACCACGAGTGAACCCGGACAATGGCTGAGGGAGAAGCTCTGATGACTGAAGGCTAAAGGCTGTTATCTGTGTTTGTATGCGTGTGCAGAGAGGATGAGGAGAAAATAAGCCAAAGACACTGAAAGACGGCAATATGAAGTTCTTTTGGAGAGTTTCTGTATAAACTGGATCGACACAAGTTTGGGTACAGAAAGTGAGATGTGAATAAACTGGCTTTCCTATTAATTCCAGGTGTTTTCAAATGACTAAAAGGTTTAACAGAGCCAGAACAGGTGTGAATTGGGACCGCCCCCATGGCTGTAAATTCCCATTTGGTTTTCTTAAAATGATCTCAGAGTTCCTGAAAAATTCTGAGTCGCCTGGATGATCGCGCCACACTACAGCTTTGTGTTATAGCCAATTACCTTTTATTGGTTTCAGCTTTGCTAAAACGGCGAATCTGAAGACCTGAAGAAGTTTGAAAAACAGAGGACTTTAAAAACGATGACGCAGACGCTGACGTTTGGCTTCCTGATTGGGTCTTATCATTCTTTCAAACACGGTTCTACTGACAGAGTTTCAGTATTTGGTATTTTCACAATTTTTTCCACCACCACAAGCCATGTTTCCATCTTATTGTCATGCGAATTTTAAGCAAACTTTTGAAATGTCGCACCAAAGAAATACGCGCGTTTCCATCAGCTGGTCTGGAGCGAATAAGCCGGGCTACGGCGAGCGTAGTTGTGTCGGTAGTCGACGTTACACATGGCTGTAATAAACAAGACGTACGGGTTCTAAACCAGAAACAAAACCAGTCGCGTGAACCTGATGGTCATTGATCTTAGAGAAACAGAGAGAGGTCCTCAGTAATGTGTTTCAAGCGGGCAACTTGCTACCAGCCATGTCTCCGTGCATTATGGGAATATCCGGTGTTATGCTGAGTTCTCCAGATAATGCTTTTAAACGCTATAATATCCTTTGTGGGGTTCATCAATGGTGATATAAATGATTTGAAGTATTTATTTTATGAATGTTTAGAGTCGCTAATATTTTATTGCACTCAGCAGCAGTCACTGAGATTCAGCAACAACATGCGGTGATAACACAGTTTGATCAGCGTGCAGAGCAGAGGATCTGAAAAGGACCTTTAAGAGGTGAATGCATAATTCAGCAGAACAGATGATGAAGGCTACCTGCCCAGATTTGCATCCACCTCTTTTCTTAGCACAAATGAGCGTCACCAGCCACGAGGTGCAGGAAATTCTGGGCAGGCGTGCAGAACTCTGCACAACCGGGCGAGACGCCGACAGCAGAAACAGCTGATCAGACGTGCTGCTTCAGAACTTATTCGAAAAAAGTGATTCCATCTCCCGTTTAGCGCATTAACTCTTTTTCTACAAAAACCACCTCAAGCGAGCGTAAAAACTTTTTTTTTTGCTGAATTAAGGATTTTTTTGCCGTTTCCATCAACCTACTTTCTGATGCGAAAAACATTGATGGAAAGGCGGCGACAGTCGCTCTGAACTCTCGTGTTACATTCAGTAGCAGTTCCACCTCGTCGTTGGTCCATGGTGTGGTTCTTCGTCTGTATGTCTTTCTTCTTTCGCTAAAGACCATCTGCTTCAGGTTTACCCCGGCACGCGCATGCCCAGTGTTCGTGAGCGGCCGCTAGAGGATCACAACTTTGGTGATCCTCTGACTTTTCATCTAGCACCGCCATCAGGTCAATTCTTTTATTGACCCAAAACTTTGGTTTGTGACCAAATACCGGCAACACTAACAGCATTCCCATCAGCCTCAGCCGTATTTAATGTTTAATTCTAATACAGGGTGACAGCATTTGGCTCTAAACGCAACTGTGTAGAAGTACAGACTCAAACAGCTGCTAGCATGGCGGGGGGCTCGTAGTCCGGTTTCTGTTCTATGTACTGCATGGCTGTGAATACTACAATATCAATGAGCCTCAGCTGCAATTTCTGTGGAGAAGAAGCCAGTCAGATTTGTGAATCAGCGACGAAGCAACAGCTATTGCTATAAGTTTTGTTTTTCTACATCTGAAGCGAGGGTCTAAGGATACAAGTTGCATGTTTGTTGTTGGAACAAAATACTGTGGCTAGTTGTTGAAATAATCTGAAATGGAACTGGAGTCTGGAAGGGAACTGATTTGCGGTTGACTTTCAGGTGGGAGACTGTATCCTGCGTTCACTTTTATTTTTTTTTGCACTAATGAAGATCGTACCCTGATTGTAACCATACCGAAGAATCTTAAAAAGTTTGGCCTTCGACTTTGTCAGTGAACGTATCATCAGAGGGTTTGCAGAGCCGTCAAAAATAAGTAGTTTTGGTTTTTACAAAACTCAATTTTCTGCCTACATTTTCTACAAAAAGTTTAGTCATTTTTTAGACAAATGTTATATTTTTTTGTCTGTGGCATATTTGACAGGAAAGCTTTTTATCTGTTAAATTTCCTGCGTTACCGAGGCAGAATATTTTGAGGGAATGTATGTCTTAAATAATCTATTAATTAACCAAATTTATTTTTGACTTTATTGTCAGAAATTTTGTGTTTTTGTTTAAAAAAAAAAGAAAATAAAGGCCATTGTTCTTGCTTTGTTTTAAAAACTCTTTAAAATCAATATGTTGTTGAAACTAATAAATTAAAACTGCACAGCTGATTCTGCAAAAGGACATTTTTCAGTCTGTTGAAGCATCGACCAGCCATGAAGGACTTCCAATGGTGACTAATCTGCAGCAAAGTGAAGAGATCACGCTGAAAAGCAACAGCAGAGAACAAACACAACAACACATTATGAAGAGTGCTCCAGCTTCGCTTCTACAAATTAGTCCGTCACTGGGAGTTTTTCTTGGAAAGTGTTTGTCTTGGTTACTGAGCACTCATCCTCATATTTCTCCGCTTGTTAAAGCGCAAAGCCACATCTCTGTAATTGCTGTTCGTGGGTGTCTGAGATTTCTTCCCTCGTGATGAACAGTGACGAGAGCTTGTAGCTTAGCCATGTTTTCATTTAGCGCCACGTCTCCTGGCTGAACGCCTCGACGATCAAAAGGCTCGGCAGGCTGCGGTCCGACGCATTCTTTAGACATGCAGAGCTGAACAATCTGCGACGACGACAGCAGGACGGATGTTTTCTGGCACATGTTCATCTCTGAATGCTGGAACACAAGATTATAGCGTTCCGCATGTCAGATGAGGTTTCATCCTCAATGCATTGATGCTGTGGTGCACGTAAACAAACTCCTTGTGAGATGACTCTGCAGCACACACTCATTCCAGGAGAGCAGTGGACCTCTGACAGGCCAACACAGTGCAGACAAACAGGCAGAGGAGGGGGATCATAACTCGGTCCGATGGCTGCTGAGGTGACCCGATCTTTGAGATGCAGGAAGACAAGCGTCACATAAACACACAACACAAGACATGAAATGTTCACAGACAGTCAACGTATAACAAATCCCTTTATATAGAGATGAGAGAGAACCAGAGAGAGATTACAGGTTCCCTGCTTCACTTTTACAACATGTGCAAAGATGTTACGGTCCGCCACGGTGCAAACACGGGAAGGAGGGTTAACGCTGAAGAGGTATCGTTCGGGGTTTCTTACACTTACAGTTCAGGTGAGGCAGCCCCAAGCAAAGTAAATCCAGAAACAAAAGTGATAATCAATTCAAATCAGCTTTATTGGCATGAATGTATAACAACAGTATTGCCAAAGCTACATATAAATGACATAGGAAAAATTTATTTCATACATTTCATGCAAAAGAAAAATTCCATTTACAGGAAGTTCCATTGGTGTAAACCGTAAACAAACAAATACACAGCGAAATGCATTCAAATAAGTTTATAAATCTCTTGAAACGGACTGCCACTATGGAAACAAATTGCCACTCACCTCTTTCTTCTTCTTACATACAAAGCCCTTAATGGTCAGGCACCATCTTCTTTGAAAGAACTCCTTTCACCATACTGCCCCACTAGAACACGGCGCTCCCAACATGCAGGGCTACTTGTAGTGCCGAGGGTCTCTAGATGTAGAATGGGAGCCAGAGCTTTTAGCCATCAGGCACCTGTTTGGGTTCGGGAAGCAACATACATTTCTATATTTAAGAGTAAGCTAAAAACTTTTTATTTTTAGTAAAGCTTTTAGTTGGGGATGTTTTTTCTTTATTTTGTGAGAAGGCTTATAGTTAGGGCCACAGTATTTTATGAATTGTTATACATTTAAAATTATTTATTTCTTATTGTTTTACATTTATGTATTTTATTGTCTTTTAATTTATGTATCTCGTTATGTGTTCTCAGCTTTTTTATCCTGTCTTGGAAATTTTTTGCGTCTTTCTGACACTTTAAACAAACCTGACTTGACTTTGCTTTGGTCCCTCGCCAAACGGAGAGCTCTAAGGACTGGGTAGATTTGACCAGAATGAATGAATGAATGAATGAGGAATGAACAGATGCATATCGTTGCCACTATATTATTATTATGGCATTACTACCTGCAGCACCAGCTGTACTCAAGGCTACGTCATATTTGCCAAATGAACATCCTCGTTGTTCCGTGGAGCTGTCAATCAATGTCAAGTACAGGGAGACGCAGCCCACATAGATGATGACGCAGTGAGTCTTTCATGTAAAGTTCTTAAGTGCGCTCGCATAATTGCAATGTTAAACAAACCAAAACTAACCGAACGAGTCAAAACATATCAAAAGATGAACTTTGTTTCGGGACTTGGTGCAGACTTTCAGGCACTTAAATACATCAGGGGGAGGAGATAACGAGACACAGGTGAAACACATTAGGGCAGGTGTGACGGAAGCCAACGAGGCTGTGCAGTGAGCAAACCTCACTCCCCGACCA